AACTCTATAGGCCCAGACACCAATAACACAGTTAAACCGGCCGATTAAAGCTGAAATAAGTCAATGTTTATCATTGCATAACTCAATTGCAAAACTCCATTTTCTCATAATGGCCTCTGATAATGAGGAAGTTCTCCGTGGCCACGTGACTGAAGTAGAGCCTAATCATTGGACTGTTGCAGTAAGTCATGACAGTTTATTGGCATGGAATTCCATAATGGCACAGATCAATAGCAACCCAGGAGGCTTTCCTCTCAGCCGGATTTGACACATTTGAATAAGTGCCGCTGAGGGGGAGCAGGCTTGTGTTGAGAGGATTCAGTCCGTCAGTGTGCTACAACATGTTAACCACAGTGATATTCATCTGCCGAGGAATAATCCCAAGATGAAACAAACTGCAACAGCGGCTACCAAATCCGAAAATAACCCTCAAAACTTTCCCCGCTTCACGACAAGGCTGGTCATCAAAAGCGGTGGAAACAAATAATGCCCATACGTTCTGAGAATAGAAGATACAATCAGGCTCATGCCCTTCTCACCCCTCCTCCTCCTTTGAGATCTCTGTGTTGGGAATAATATAAGGCTTGAGGGAGCGGGTTGTGAGATAAAAGGCCACATCACAATGATGATCTCTATCGATCGGCAACCTTGGGCACACAGAGGAGGTCCGGCATTTGTCACGTCGAAGCTGAACCCAATAGCTGATCCACGCCACACTCTGATGAATTGGCCCTATTCGCCAAGTTTGTTTAATTGATGACGTGTTCTCTTTCAGGTGGACCACCACTACGTTCCATGCATTCATTGATTTTCCTAACACCCCCCCCCCACAAACTTCTTTTTCCCGCTTACTCTAAGCACCAAACTACACAAGATAAACCTACCCCCACTTTGACAAGACCTCGACCACATGAGGTGGAGTGTCCTTCAACCTGCTTCTGATGTAGACTTTCAGAGACTTACATACAGTCCCTCTTTGTTAGTATAGAGAGGCCTACGAGGTGTATCAAATTAAAAGTATTATGAGGAGTGAGCAGAAGTTTTCTCCGCTCACATTCCTCAAAGAAGAGGTCAAGCCGTTAGTTGAAAGTTGGATGAAAATACACACACAAAGGTGCACAAAACAGTTCTATTTCCATCCCAGATGCACATGAATCAACTTTTACTGCAATAATTCTCATTACAATTCAGGTGCTCCTAACCTTCTGAAACCCTGTGGTAATGTAGGTTTTGATAACCACTGACTGCTGTTGGTTACATGCAGTGAAGTCCATTAAAAATAAGTTTGATGTGAGCCGGTAACCACAGGCATCTCCTTTTTGTGAGCAATGCTGCCGATCCCTCGCTAGGTACCGAACTGTTAATGTTTCAAAATGCTCACCAGGCTAAAGTGCACCACGCTTCAGCAACACTCAACAATCCATACAGGAAAGAATTTGAATTTGTAAACCACACAATCCTATTCCAGGGGATCTGGAGTGCGTAACTTTGTCATCTTGAGAGCCTGCATGAAAACTAACACTTGCCGGAGCAGCCAAGCAAACCAGTCAAGCGCTAGGTAGGTAGCGTTTGGCCATCAAAGGGAAATTCCAGCCTAATGGGGTTTCAGAGTTTCCAATGTATCCCTCTACCATCCACAGAGAACACCGATTACCTGAGGAGTGCTACCTCACACACACAAGTGCACTCACCTTTCACACTCTCTTAACTTCGGAGTTAAGGTAGCGTGGATGCACATGCTTCAGACAGGCAAAGGTGAGTGTGGGAGTGTATTTGACAGTGGAATGAGCATGATGCTGAATTTGCAACATCATTATGGGACCTGAATTTACACAAATATAAAGGATAGCCGCGCCTCAACAAAGCTATGAATCGCCTCTGGAGCGGAGACGTGGAAGTAAAAAAACAAGAGACGCAGCACAAACAAAGGCAGAGAAATTGTGCAAAAAGGCACACTTTTGGATTTAAAGCACCTATCTCAGATCCCAGAGCCTTGAGAATGGGATTGGATTACTGTCGGTTAGATTTACTCCTGTGGCTCTTCGCCACTACATCATCATAGGGCCCCCTGCCTCTGGATCAATGGGGATATTTACTGCGCCTGTTTCAGGGAGCCTTTCACAGTAGGCAGGGCATTAAACAAACAGCCGACAGCCCCGTCCCAATGATGGCCTGTCTGTTCACACTGTGCCATGCCCAAATGTCACACATATTCACTTCAAACAGGTAGCGCACAAATACAAGTGAAGTGCAGATAAAACAACAACAACAACAAAAAAAAAAAAAAAAAAAAAAAAAAAAAAAGGCCAAGCAATTTGCTCCGTGTGCTGAACAAAGGAAAGCTGCCACATTTCAAGAAAAGAGAAAAAAAAATATCCAGGAGAAATGGAAAGGCATGTTATGTTTACTTTTAGATAATTAGCCTTGTAACCCACTCTAAAATTATACTTGTTAAAATCCTCTTAAATGGACACACCTCAAATAATTCCTTGTCTGCATTCCCCCGGTTGCTCATAAATGTTTTGTTTTTAACAGTAAAATGAAATTGCACTTCACATGTTGGACATTCCATTGTGTTGTATTGCTTAATGGAAAAAATAACAAACAAAAAAAATCTGTGTAACAGGGTGAAGTTTTGTTATGGACATAACAATCCTACAGTGTCATAGTTTATAACCTCATTTAACCCCATGGTGAGCTGGAAAGGCATCATAATTGAAATCACTTGAGGTGAAACAGCCCTTCTTCCACAGAGTATTTCTATGAAGCTGCAGCGACAACCTATTGAATTACATTAGAAATCTGGCAAGGATCGCCACTTAGGAGTCTCAAACAACAGTCTTTGCATGCATGTATACTGGCTGTCTGCAAAATCGTTTGCTAAATGTGAGCGCATGAGTCCAAGAATGAGAGGAATGTACTTCGTTTCCATTCAGATATGAGCAAAATAAGCGCCTTCATAGAGAAAAACAGTCAGTATGAAATTTTTTCATTACTTGACAATTCCACTGACTAAGCCCGCACGATCAGCTGACAGTGCAATGTCAAACAATGGGCTTTCGAACGGCAGGGAGCATTACCGAATCAGCCTGAAGAGCTCCCGGGGGAAGACTTAACTCCGATTCATCACCATGAAAAGTAATATGTGTGTGAAAGTCAAGGGGAAAATAACAGAAAAATAAACACTTATGGCTTGTTAATGAAAGCTGATGTAAGCTGGACTTTGACAGACCAATCATCACTGCAGCTGCAGAGGATATTGTGCTGGTTGGCTTACTGGATTTACAGTAGTACATTAATGCACTGCAAGTGCATCTTTCTGTCAATATGTATTACTAAAGTTTTGCTGCTCCAGAGTTGCCCAAGTAAGTCAGAAACACATTTGTTTAAATTGACAGGATGGGTGACGACATTTTAAAATCAGATAATGAGATTTGTTGATTTTGGACCAGTTTCAACTATTCTTATTTTACTTTATTTTTGCTTCTAAGAATGATTTATTGCCATGTTCTACAGACTGACATGAGTGAGTTTAAAGCTGTGATAATCTTTGACTCTATATGGTGAGGAATTCGGGATCAAGGCTATAGTCACATCTGCCAGTCAGATAAGCACCAAAAAAAACTCTTTTGTTCTCAGTGATTAAAGTTAGCATTAACTTTCATCTTGCACCTGATGCACGCCGTTCACAGCCGGGATTTTTTTTTTTCCTATGATGTCTAAGAATATCTGTTTTGCCTTTTTTTTTTTATATTGGAGACAGTCAGAACATGGGAATTTCTGTGGGGGTGTGTGATTGTGTGTGTTTGCACACATGTGAAGCATGAGTCAAGTGTACTGCACCAGGAAGGCTGAATGCTGAGAGGATGCCACCATTGGTTTACACACACACACACAGACACACACACACACACAGAATGACTTGTGTCATCCCACACAGCATACGGCACTACCCGGACACAGCACATTCTCATTACTCTGCCACAGCAGCACAGGAAGTCGTCTTAGGTTTGAAGTGAAATGTTTTACACATTAAAATAGGAATTCTTTAGATCTACTATTTTATACAGCACTCATGGCAAGCGTAATATTATTAGGATTATGTCCTATTTCATCATTAATGTTACATGAGTTGCCACGTAGCCAGTTTAACTGTTAATTATTGATAATATTATGAAATGAAAATGATTGTCAAATATACAAAACATAATATTTAATAAAGAAAACCCCAATAGGGATAACAGCTTTAACCTGGAATAACCTCATCTGTGTATGTCAGGGAGACAAATTTCATTCATAATTTAAGATATCATTTATTCATACATATTGTTATTAATCAATATTGCAATAATTTTTTGGTGTCAGACTAATATAAGTATTGTTTATATTCTGGTATTTTCAGTTACATGTACAGATCAGTGGTTTGCCATGCTGTAAGAGAAGGCCAACAAGCCATCAGCTGTAATTGTGAGATGGTTATTTCTTTTTCTTTTTTTTAAGTGATCGACACACACACACACACACACACACTGAACTTAAAAAACTCAAAGTTATATGAGTTATTTAACATCTTTGTTTTTCACAAATTTAAATAATACTCAATGCAAAGCAACAACATTTAAAAAAAAAGAAAAAAATGAAGAAAATGAAACAAATTTTGAGGGGACTATAAACTATAAAATATCTGGAAACTGTGTTTAAAATAGCAATGTTTCCCAGAAATGAAGCATTATGTCTTTTCTGAAAATAAATGGGCAATAAATGTGGATGAAACAAAACTGAAAAAATGAAATGAAAATGAAATATTATCATGAATGAATTTAGAAAAGGAATTACGAAATTGTAAATAACAATAGTAATGATATTAAACAGTCTTTCTCATTTATTTGATCATATGTATCTGGTATTTCAAATTTTAATTTATGGAAATAAAAGGGTGACAAAGAAAGGGGAATGTGATGCAGATAAGGAAACCATTAAAACACACACCTGTTCTCTTTTTTTTTATTTAAGAAGGTTTTGATTGAGTGATGAGTTTGCACTCTGACGAGTTGCACAGATGCAATAACAGAGAACCGACTCTGCAAATTGTAGGAGTGGTACGCTGACAACAATGAAAACAGCACGTGATAGATAGCTCAGTCAAAAGGTTAACGGTAACTCACAGACAAAACGTCTTGTTTTTAAAAAGTGCATTCACAAACATGACAAATACTCTCAACTCATGATGTCTATTTTTATGTGATACAAAATATGCATACCTGTTTTAGATTTGTCTGTATTTCTATACATAGATATTTCTTCAAAAGGATCACTTCTTTTTTCTTTTTACAAAGGTTAAAAGCAGGGTTGTGTTCATAGCAGCTTCGGATATCTCTAGCCTCTTTACCATGTAATGAGATACACATAGTCTCAACAGATATCCAAATAAAACCTACCATTTTTCTCTGTTGTTCAACTCAAATGACATATTGTCTTTATTGAAAGAGATATTCATCAGTGAAGCCTGCAGTTTAGAAAAAAAATGGATCAATAAAATGCTTGGGCCATTAAATATATTTTTGTATACCCGCTTTTTTGTCAATATCATAAATACTAAAGACACAGGACAATATTATAAGACAATGCTGGGAGACTAAATGTAAAGATTAAAATAGTTCAAACATTATTTTTTTCAAGTTTTCTAGTTCATGAGAAAAAAATATCAGGCGAGCACAGAAACACTATACTTCAGTCTTTTCTTCAGTCTATCCATGGGCAATCATAAACAAGGTTCCCAGGCAAAGGCAAGACTGTCTTTAAACAAACCCATGTTCTTTTCTGTTTTAGTCCTGTCCAGATAAGATGCTTGCCCATCATAAATGAGGCAGGATCCTGGTTTTCAAAGAAATTCATAAAAGCAGTCAAACATACTGAGAAAAACCAATAAGTACCATGCAAATCTTGCAAGACGACATATTCTCAAACAAGAGACAAAGTATTCTTCGTATAGGTGAAATATCAAGTGAGGACGCAATGAGTGAAAGGCAAAGACCTCTAATCAATACTAAATACTATATTTCCAAAACCAAACAAAAAATATTTAATCTGTACATTATATAATACGTATGAGTTCAGACTGGATCAGCAGTTTCTGTCCTTGCTGTCAGACTCTTAGTCTTTGCCAAATGCCTACCTTGGAATAATACAGAAAAGTCTTTTTAATTGATCCCAATCTCTTTGTTCTCCTCCATAAATCTGGAGAAGGGACGGCTGGCCCCGACCTCCAGACCAGCCTTCTCCATACCCGTCATGGGAGGGCTGCTGCCTGTGTGAACGCGGTCCATTCCTCCAGGCATGGCTCCCAGTGAAGTGATTCCTGCACCGCCGAGGCTGACGGGCAGCTGGGTGATGCCTCCGTTCTGGATCACAGAGATCTCATTGTTTTTCATGGCCAGCCCATTGGTGATGGCGGCCGCGTACTGGTTCCAAAAGCCCGGGTCGACGTTCATGGCCCGAGCCGCCAGATCCTTCTGGAACATCTCGCTGAACTTCATGGCATCCCCGCCTAGCAGGGCCATGGGATTCTCTACGGACAGTCGCCGACCCCTTCGGGCTGGAGCGTTGTTCCACATGTGTGTTCCCATGTGAACCTAAAATTAGCCAGAAGAGAAAAAGAAATATCATGAAAGTGCCATGGTAAGACACAAATACTACATCCAAACAAACACTGTACGGATGGGAGTGGAGGGGAAAAGGCCAAAAATGTATGAATGTAAAAACAAACAGAAAAACATTTTTGGAATGATTTTGCGGTTCATTAAAATTTTTTATCTGAGAACCTCTTTGGAAATAGTTGGAAATTGACTTAAAATGTACAGATAACACAAGACCATTAAGATTTTGCTGCTACATTTCAATCATGATGCATTTAAATCATGTAAAGGAACTTTACGGGAATTCTATGAAAACATTTTTTTCAGGCCCTTTAGTTGTGACTAAATGTGATTTATTTTTTATCAGATCGTACCCGATAGTGATCATCTGAGATTTACTGATTTTAAACTTATGCTGCTGGCGTAAATCTAAAATCTCTGCTTCATTTAGCAAAGTGGTGGCAAGGGGGCATACAGAAATCCAAAGGTCTTGTACCAGAGTTTTACACACCATCCATGCAAAATTCACACTGATGCTATATTAAACTCTCTAGTACCTTCAGATTGCCCTTTGTGGTGAAAGCCCTTCCACAAATGGAGCAGGCGAACGGTTTCTCCCCGGTGTGTGTGCGCTCGTGGATCTGCAGAGCACTGGCGGAAGAGAAATTCTTCCCACACGAGTGGCAGTTGTGCTGCTTAGGAGTGCGGCGTGGAGGCGGGGGAGCCAACATGGGGTTGATGCTGGGGCTCATGGTGGTCTGGGGTGTTGCGGCGGGAACCTGGATGCCCACGGGCAGGTGAGAGTTGTCGCTCAGAGACACTGACTTGCCGTGTCCATTCATCTCCATTTTGATCATGTTCGATGCAGTGCTGGCCAAATTAGGGGTGCTCAGCCCTGAAAACAAGGAGAGGTGAAATAAATATTACAATACACAGGGTGATTTTGCAAACAGGGAGACCCATATGGCTGCAAGGTAGCTGCTTGAATTAGCCTGTGTGTATATGTTTGTACATTTTCATCAATATTTACCCCTTTTCTGGCTATCAATATATCATATTTTATCATATCATATTTTTCACTCATGTGTATCAATGTATAACACTATATTGAGTAGATATTTTCATGCTGCGTACATTATTTTTACTAATAACTACCACATTAAATCTGTATAGAAATGTAATTCACTCTTCATGATGCATTAAGTTTTAGTCGATTTTGCACACACACCTCGATCCCTATTTAGAAACAGCATGCTGAAGTGGCTCTCCTCCTTGATAAAGTGCCTGCCATGTTGAGTGGCAGTCAGGTCAAGGGCCCCGGTGCCTTCAGTAGCAGAAAGTGGAGATGGAGTCTCTGATTTTTCCGACTTCACCGTTGCCAAGCCCGCTGTATTGTTCTCCTGGCCCTCCTCTGCTGTCATGGCACTGCTGTTGTTATTATTGTTGAGTGTAGCTGGGGACTTGGATCGCTGGCTCTCAGAGTGGCTGTGAGCTGGGGACAAATGCTGCATAGAGCCAGAGGACTCAGACAAAGCAGGGCTCCCCAAGCTTTGACCTTCAGCATCCCCCACCACTGACAGGGAATCTGTGGTTAAGCAGTCAGTCTCTCCTCCAAAGCTGCTGCCGTTCAGCATGGGCTTTTGACCGAACGAACGGGTCATGTTGGCAGTGGAGTCGATCATCTTCATTTGGTTCTCCATTGCAGCAATGCTGGAGATGATGGAAGTTGGCGGGGAGCACCCTGGCGAATAAGGTTTAGATGGGTCCACTTCCCCCTCTTTTAAGTCAACTTCGTCATCCATAGCCTGCTCCATTTCGTCCAGAAGGTCATCATCGTAATTACTCATCGCATCTAAGCTCTTCTCGTCAAAGGACAGGTCAGTGTCCATCTCCTGCAGGCTTTCAGGGACCGGGGTGTTGGGGATCTGCCCTCCCATGTGCATACGGATGTGCTGCTGCAGCACGACTGCATTGGTGAACTTTTTCTGACATATAGGGCAGGAGTGCTGGACCCGAAGCGGGGGTTTGGATCTGTGGACACCAAAGTGTGTTTTCAGGTTTCCCTTGGTGGTGAATGCCCGCCCACATATCTTGCACTTGAAAGGCCTCTCACCAGTGTGGATACGGTAGTGCATCTTGAGAGCACTCTGGCAGCTGAGAACGCGATGACAGATGACGCACTGGTTTGGGTCGGTCATCTTCTTGTCAATATTTTCAACAAGCTGCTGCAACTTTGATGTCTCTGAGGTTTGCATAGAGTCTAGGAGGCCGCCAAATGGAAACTTGGCCTTAAACTGGTCAGAGAGCATGGGAAGGACCGGATGGGAGATGGGGTTGGAGACAGAGTTGGGGCTCATGATTGGTTCAGTGACCTGGCCACTGCTGGGCGATGTGGTGGAAGTGACAGTAGTGGAAAGGACCACTTGAGTTACTGTAGTTGTGGTGGTGGTGTTCTCTCCCGGCCTGGAAGAGCAGCTTGGGGGCAGGAGAACACCTTCAGGTTTCAAGAGAGGAGGTGCTTCACTCCCTAGGCTAGGCTTTGGGGAGGGTGAAGTAGTGGTCATGCCAGAGTCAGTGACGATATTAGGGGACAAAGATGCACACTCGCTTGAGGGTGGAGATGGCCTCTGAGGGGACCTGTTGAGCGGAGTGAGGCTTGGAGAATCGCCAAAACCTCCCATCATACTCGGCAGCGTGGGAGGCAGCTGGAGCCCGACTGAGGTGGGAACAGTGGGGAGGACAGGTTTGCTGTCTAGCCATGTGGTTACCGGTTTTTCAGGGGGCAAAGACATGCCATATGGGATGCCTGAGCTTGTGGGCACATTGTCCAGGTACTCTGGCACAGGGTAGGGGTTCATCTGAATGTGTGGGTATTTCTCTTTGTGCCTCTGGAAGTGAACTTTCAGATTCCCTTTGGTGGAGAAACGGTTGCCACATATGTTGCATTTGTACGGCCTCTCTCCAGTGTGGGAACGCAGGTGGATCTGTAAAGCGCTGTCACTGCCAAACACCTTGGCGCAGAACCGACACTTATGCTTGAAGAATGGGTCCTCCGAGCTGGGCTTAGTGTCAAACACAGACACATTCGGGGGCTTCCCCTTGCGGTGCTTCATCAGAGCAGAGAGGGGGTCGAGTGCGTTGGCTGTGGCTGCTATGCTGGCCAGAGGGTTGGGGAAGATAACGCTGCTGGACGAGCTGTGAGGTATCAGCGGTAGACTGGAGGCAGAGCTCAGGAGGCTACTGTGGCTGAGTGAGGGAGGGGTGGTGGAGTTCCTGGGAAGAGCTGAGCTGCTGCTAATGCCACCACCTCCTGTTACACTACTACTGGTGCTAATGTTGTTGTTCATGACTGAGGATGAGCAGGAGGGAATTAGAGATGACAATCCCGTACCACTGGGCTGTGGAAACACCGAATTATTTGAGGATGTGTTCGGGACTGAAGCGTTAGGCTGCTGACTGCCACTTTGTGGTGCTTGAGACAGAGGCCCTTCTATTGCTGAGGTCAGGGGTGAAGAGCCTTGACCGTTGAGAGTGGCCGGCAACCTAACAGGCAGCTGATGGACAGGAGGGGTGATGAAGTTGTGTAGCTGAAGCTGACTAGCGACAGGGGGGACACAGGAGGAAACAGGCCCCTGGTTTCCAGCAGCATTGCTGTGATGGTGATTGAGAGCAGGCTGTGAGGCAGACTGTCTATTCATCAGAGCCACCTGACTGCGTATTTGTTCTATCAGCTGCAGCTGGTGTATCTGCTGCTGCTGGAGGGCCATCAGCTGGTCCAGGATCATGGGAATAGCCATGGTGGAGACCCCACTGCCTGCTGCTGCCCTCACACTCTGTGAAAATTGGGCAACTGCAACCCGGGTGCCATGCAGAGTCTCCAGGGTAACATTGGTGCTTGGCATGGCATAGCTTGTAACAGCGGAGGGGACGACATCATTGAGCTGAGGTAGGGAGCCGTCTGGCTCAGGGGATGTCACATCTCTGTCTTCAGAATCCATATTTTTTTCAGGAGACAGCTCCAGCTCCATCTGCTCGTCCTCCTTTTCTAGGACATTGACCCCATTTAAGGTTGCTGTCTCTGGGACGTCATCCCCCTCACCAGCAGGACTGTGGTTGCCCTCCCTGGGGTCCTCGCTGTCAGCCTGCTCGCTCGGGCAGCTGGGTACAGGGGAGGGCTCTGTCGGGTACTCCTGGGAGGGGTTAGGTGTGTCCTCATTGTCATTCACTATGAGCACCAGGGGGTTCTTGGTGCAGCTCTTTAAATGTTCACAGAAGTCTGACCACTTGAAGAACTCAGCGCAACACTTCTCACATACATGGGTCTCCTCACTGCCGCTGCGGCTCTCGTTCCCGCTGTCGGCATCATCCAGCACATCACCTCGGGCTACAGGGAGAGGAGGGGTTCAGGGGGGAGGACAGGAAAGGAGGGAGGAGGAGGCAAAAAAAAAAAAGAATTAATGAATAAATAATCAATAAAGAATCCACACATATTTTGCAGTGCAGTGCAGCAAAGATTTAACCTTTGATTTTTTTTTCTCTCTTTTAACATAACCAAAATCAATATTCTTTTTATTTTTTTCCTCTGAACAAATTGCCCTAGTTCACCAATTCTCAAGACCCAGGTTTGTGCATTCGCACCCTCTCCATAGAGCCAGCTAATAATTTTCTTAGTGCAATCCATCAAATTATGAGGGCCTATCAATTGTGGATACTGCCGCTTAATGAAATTCCATAGAAACTATTGATTTCCAATGTTTCATACAATTCACAGCTGCCTCATCTGTTGGGTACAAATCAGGACTTTGATGGCCTCATTAGGATTCCCCTCTGCTATCAAGCCCAGTCATTTCCACCTGAATTCCAAATGTCTGGGCCTTTTCATTTAGCATTGCAAAGGTAATACTAGCCTTGAATCTAAGCAAGGGACTGGAATACTCTTTTGTTAAAAGGGAAGTGTTGTCAGAAGTAAGCTTTAGCCCCTATACATTTCATGCACAGTGAATAAGAGTGAAGAGATAAACTGAACCATTTAAATTGTGTGCAAACAATATCTATAATTAAAAATTTGAAATGTTTTGAAATACAAAACGTTCCCTTTCAGTTTAGAAATTCACAGTGTTACTCTCTCTCTCTCTCTTTCTCTCCCTCTCTCTCATGCGCTCTGAAAAAAAAAAAAAAAAAAGACTCAACAAATTACATGCTAGTGCCATGGCAGCAAAGTCTCTGATTAGTTACACATGTTTAATCACAGTTGTAGGAAGCCACTTCCTCTTCCACATGCAACCATCAAGAGTCAAACAAGCAGAAGCGAGGTCTGAACATGGACCTAATTCACACCTGATCAAAACCATGTAGAATTGGCCTCCCTTGTATGTTTATTTTTTGTGTTTGACCATAGTTATACTCTATATGTGTGTGTGTGTGTGTGTGTGTGTGTGTGTGTGTGTGTGTGTGTGTGTGGTTCATTATGAGTAGGAAGTGTGCTCAATCACCGCCACAGCATCCTGCACATTCTTTATTTCAGAGCCTCCTGTTCAGTTTACACTCAAAGACCCGGCATATATCTGGTAATATAACTGTTTATCCACAAATTAAACTATTTTATATACACTTAACACTATAAAAAATGTTGGGACATTTTCATAGGCATTTACTGCAAATAAAAGTGATTTATTTCATGGTCACTCTAAAAAAAAAAAAAGAAATGCTGCAATAAAACAAGGTTAAGTTGATAGTTGGAGGAGTGTGTAATTCTTAAAAAGAGGCCCATAGCTACTAAAAGACACACACACATGAATGAAATTGTTTATGCAAATTTGCTTCCTCTAAACACGCTTGACCAACCTGAGCTCTGAATGAAAGCTATAGAAAGACAAAGTGAGAGCAGCATAACCTCTGAAAAAGTCCTGCACACTACCCACCACACGTTTCCTCAACACTAAAGGCCTCACTGTACTTTGTAAGTGAGTAATCGTGAGATTCATACAGCGCCTACGCTCATTTCAAAGGTTACAACGGAGCGAGCCATGGTGAAGCAGACATGAAGCATTTGTGCCAATTACAATGACTCATTAGTAAAGAAATTCATCACTCCTCCAAAGGGGGCAGGAGCTATCAGGGTCTGGTGTCTGTAACTTAATTAATTATCAACAGAAAGGCTTTGGACAACCTCCGTGTTCTCCTCCTCACCGGGGGCAGGGCTGACGGAACAAGATATTATTTTATTCAATCATGTATGCTGCCAGGATAAATTAGAGAAAACTGATTAAGTAATTAAAGGAAAATAAAATGCAAAATCCTGCATGTTATTTACTTTACAATATCAGCGTCACCTCTCCCTTGATTTTCCAGCCACAAGTCTGTAAACTCAGTGTCAAAATTCCAGCAAAGCAAAAAGACATTTTTGGTCATTAACAACATTTCTATTATATATCATCACTAAAAAGCTCAAATTCAAAACAAACACCGACAAGTGAAAAGGGGAAAGCGACTGGAAACATCAGTGACACGTGACAGCAGGCTAGAAATCTCCTTAGCCCAGCAGCGGACAGCAGGACTCATTTCCATAATTGAGGGTTGAAAGGTCAACGCAAATGAGTAGGCATTGTGTTGAGCTGATTAGTTATTAGAATGGTATTACTGTCAATCTCTTTTATTCATTCATACAATTACAAGTGGGGGCCTTTGTATGCCTCTGACCTCACACACACAAACACACGAACGCACGCACACTGGCACGTTCTCTCACACACACATATGTAGACAGACACAGAAAATTCACAAATGACGTGCCTTGATAAACACCTACAAAAAAAATGTGACAGATACACACACATATGCACGCTTCTTCCTGTCACTGGAGGATACTTGCAAGGTGTGTGTATATATATGTGTGTGTGTTTGCAGAGGCCTACCCCTGTTAAATTTACCATGTGAAGAGCTACACGTGCTTTTTATTTTTCTGACTTAAAAAAATGCGTTAATTTAGATTTTGTAAAATTCCAATTTCCAAGTTTTTAAATTAAGTTTTTAAAAATAAAAATTCCTGCTTTTGTTTTGAAAATGTTCTTTCCCTCTGACATCTTCGGTTTTGTTTCAGCATTCATTGCAAATACAATACAATCTGGAATTCTTGATTATTCAATTCTACATCTATAATAGACAGATAATAGAGACTCATTCAAAAAAATATAGACACTGCCATTAAAGAAAAAAGATTTAACAAAATAAGACGTGGGATTCAACATTGCTTTAGTCAGTATTATTCTTATGATATCAGAATTGTAAGACAAGTGTGTGCATATGTGTGTGTGTGCGCATGTGTTTGGGGGGGATGGGGGTATTGATTTTCCTATAGCATAAGAAAGGAAGGTTTGAAAAAACACATCCCATCCGTTTTTCATTCTTTGAGGAGTCTTCATTTACTCAGATGCAAATATTAAGCTGAACGCAGTCAATAGGGGAATTGTAGACATTGAATCTGTGTGTCCGCTATCTCGCTCAGCAATCTTTGGCATGCTAACTGAAACCGCTAATCTGACATATTATATCAGATGAGGTATTCATGCTTTCCACTGATTCTGTGAAAGCCACAGAGCCGGGCATTGAGCGAAGCATTAGGCAATTACAAATTCTCCCATTCTTAACAATTTCCAGATTCACTTAATGAATACACACACACACGCACACAGACACGCACACACGCACACACACACACACACACACACACACACACACAGACAATGACACTGGTAACATTCACCTTATGTTAAGGATAAAGTCATTGCTATCTCATTTTTTTTTTTTAAAAGAATGTCTTATATCCTACATAACAACTACATTAACAACTTGCAGCTTAATACTTCTTCGTCAAACTGTGATAACGTTCTTTCCACAGAGCGCCTGCACTTCCAGCCCTCCTACAACCCCAGCCCCACCTTCTGCCCCCTTTAAAATGCATTCTTCTCAGGCATCTGAGGATAGCTTAGGACCCTTAAAGAGAGATGCATCACTGTAGGTCCAGCCCAAGTTGGGAGGGGAGGGCAACAAAAAAGAAAAAAAAAAAAATAGAAGGAGGCCTGCTGTGTTCAACAATGTTGGAATTCTTGTGCCAATTACTTTTTTCCATTCTGTTTTTTTATCGTACCTCCACCTTTCTGATCTCCAGAAAAGAAACAATTATTTAACTAATTCATTATTAAGTTCATTTCAAATGATTTTGATAGAGAAATATTGAATCTATGTATTGTGAACCCTGTGATGCTTTTTCATTGTGTATTTTTTCAGTCAGCACATGATCAATGCGGACTTATCAGTGCCCCCCCCCTTTTTTTTTTAAATTAACGAATCTATAACTATTAGTTCAAACACTGCATTAATACCCCTAACGTAAGTAAAGTAATTTATTGTTTGCATGTATATTTAAATAAACATCCTGCAAAAAAAGATATCTTCTGTTCTTCTTCTGTTGCACAGTCCCTGGACAGTCCTGTCTGTGCGGCTATAAACACATGAAACGTCTCCTCGAATGATCTAACGCATCCTCAGACCTGCAGAGGCTCGAGCGTCGTCAGCCCCAGCTCTGTGTGTGTGCGTGTGTGTGTGTGTGTTTGTGTGTGAACGCGGGTATGCGTGTGTGCGTGTGTGTGTCATCGGCCTGGTCAGCCCCACTGCAGAATGGTACAGTCATATCTGCACTAACAGAGAGGCCTTTGTCATTGGCTGCAGATGTGGAGCAGCCAAAACATTAACGATTTGTTTGTGTAAGCATTTGCAATACAGTATTCAATGACGGCACTCTGTCCAGATGACTGTGTCACCCGTCAAGATGGCTCTCTGCCCCCGGATTCACAGAGGGGGCTCGAGAAGAGGAGGAGGCTTCAGGATCTAATGGACACTCATCCTCAGCACGCCAAGAGAGATTCTGTTTTTTTTTTTTTTTTTTTTTTTTTGCATTAAGATCATTGCTTCACTTCCTTTTAACAATTTTCCAATTCAAAAAATGATTTCTCTTTTTACACCTGCACAGCAAAGCACCATCATCGCATGGACCGATCTCAGCTGTCAAACTGCTCCTCCATGATGCTGCCGCCTGGACAAATCAGAGCTACAATCATCAAAACAAACACAAACTGAATCATCGTTAGAAAATCCACCGAAGACTAAATTTACCTCTTCACTTGATGGCTTGTTAGCTTTCTCCTAAATCCCCCAAAGTCTGCTGTTCTATCTAACGTTAAATAGTCCCCCCCCCCCCACCCCTCTCTCTCTCTGTCTGGGCCCTTCCTCTCCATCAGGATCTTACTTGTTCATGTGTGTTTTTCTGCGCTGAGTAGTAATTAAGACACAGTCATATTTTTGAGAGTCTCCTTGAAGACATCTTTGGCACAGCTATGTGGGTGGTCCACAGGCCTGCACCCAATGGTGAGAGGGGATTAAAACAAAAGCCAAACAAAGCCCCACTGCAGGGGAAGTGGGCAACAACCGTGTCGTCACTGTCAGCGGGGATTTGCTCACTATATAATACTTTTTCTTCTTCTTTTTTTTTTTTGCAGCCTGTAACTATGTACATTCCTGCCTTAAACATTATCTTGTAGGGAAAGGAAAACAAGTTCTGCTTATCTGTGTTTGGAAATGTGACTATATCTGTGAGTAAAGCATAAAAAATGAAAACTGAAACCACATTTGCAGTCTTCCACCTGTTCTCTCTGAAAGCACGACCATCTTTTCCTGAGACGTCTCCTGAGATGTTTCATCTCAATTTTTTTTTTTTTTTTTTTACTGTGGCGGCAAATATTGACAAAAATGTATACGTCTCTTGGTTGAATTTTGATCCTGTGCATCTCAGGCGGGAAAAATGTACCTTTGTAAAATCCCCTAAATAGGAGCATGCACAGGAGTACTCATGTACAATGTGTACGCCACTGGCCCGCCATACACCCCCCCCCCCCCCCCCCCCCCCCCCCCCCCCCCCCCACCACCACCACCACCATGCACACCTCCAAATACAACCGGATGCAGAGGAAGCGGTGGCGAGATGAAAAGCTCGTCACTGTTCACACTTTCGAGGGCACGAGTGAGCTGCTGTGCTGCCAAGGTCAACGGCACACATGTTCCCACTGTACAAGGTGCTTGACATCTAGCGGCAGGACCTGGCCTGCCGGGGCTGGACAGAGGTTAAGTCAGCAAGCTTTATAAAAGCACTCCTAAGCAGACCCCTCCACCACCACCACCACCACTTCCCCTCCTCCTTTCCCCATCCCAGCACACACACACACACACACACACACAGACACACATATACACGCACCCAACCCCCCATTCCCCCAGGGGGCAAGTGTCCGGAAGGCCTGAGGGGGAGATGATTTGCCAAACAAGGGCTTGTTGGCACTTGATTTTAGTTTTTCATTTTTTTCATTTTTTTTTTTTTTTTCAGAGATGCAGCACAGTGAAGAGCTGCAGTGGACATCAGTGGAAGAAAAAAAAAAGTCATGTATAAAAAAATCAGATCATATTAAAGATTTAAAAAAAAAAACAAAAAAAAAAACTGAACACACAAAGGGAAGTTTGTACCTAATGGATATTTTCTTAGTTGATGCCTATTTACGTGAAACGCGCCACAGACTCAGAGTGTGTGTCCTTGAGCACAATTTCACTTGAATGCCTGACTTTCTCCTCAGCACTCGCCCCAACATATATAGATTTTAAGTCTGAACCAAGGAGCAGCCGATGACTGGAACTTCTGAATTCCTTTGACATTATATGCAACGATATGTCAAGGCCAGCGATCAATAGTGTCGTCACCAGCTGCACCAGCGAAGAATCTGATCACTGCTGCAATGATACACTAACAGGATGACATTTGTAGCTGAGTGTGTCTACGGTAGCTTTGGATGAGACATGGTATTATTAGGTTTATCTAAGTGTGTGTAGGCTCACTGTGCATGGCCAAAAGGCTTGGGATTGTTTCACGGCAACGTCTGTCCTGAAAACAACAAGCCAGTATAAAGTGCTCCATCCGAGGATAAGGCGAGAACATTCCACGGCCACTTCCAGTCTCAGGCACAACAGCATGGACTCTATAGGTTACACATAACACAGTAAATGTGTTATTCTAAAACGATACATATACCTCTATCCATGTAGGGAATCCAGGACAGATTTCCCTCAAAACGACACTCATTTCCCACCGTGATGGATCTGCCCCTTAACGCACCTTCTGTTACACGAATTGTCAATCGTTGTTTTATAAATGAAATACTATGTAAATCATCCAAGTGTAAGATTTTGCTGCAGGGGAAAAGGAAGTTCTCTTTTCATTCCACGATCCTACAGGAGAGCAACCTGATGGATGTTTTTACGTATCTCTGAGCAAAATCTGAGGAAAGGTTATCTCAACACTGAGGCAGAGACAATGTTTGTGTTCGAGTGTGAATTGCCCAGAAATGACAAATAAATAAATAAAAAAATCCACAGTGTAAATGGGACAAAAAAAGAGCTGAGAGTCATGAGTGTGATTCCCACCTCACACCAAACATTTCCCCATGCAAAGAGAGCTGCTCCCCAGAGATTACATCACGCTTTTCTATTCTAAAGAAGCTCTGTAAAGTGTGTGTGTGTGTGTGTGGGTGAGTGTGTGACTAGTCGTGTGTGTGTGTGTGTGTGTGTGTGTGTGTGTGTGTGTGTGTGTGTGTGTGTGTGTGTGTTGGTCAACATGGGTCAAGCTAGAGAGGTATAAATAATAGCAGTGATTTGCTAGATACACAAAAAGAGACACATCTTCGTAATTTAGCAAAGAGAAATTAAAACATAAATTCTGATCTTCAGAGTGAATTATCGTCTTATAATTGATGGCTGTTGTAGCTACACAAAATTAGGAAATTACTTATTTTGAATCCTTATGTATCTTAATATATAAAACATTATTTTTTCCACATTTAAAACAATAAAAGTAATTTAAAAAATCTGCAATAAAAAAGCATATACAGTAAGATTTCTGCACTAGAATGTAAAGAAAACAGTGTCCCCACAGTTGTCACGTTATTCCTATAATTCCTCCCACATTTCACCTCGCTACACATCTGACTTTAGCTCCATAATGATCGTTTTATTGCGGAAAAGGCTGAGTACAGAATAAAAGATGAATGAGCCTTTTTTTGTTTTTGTTTTTTCTTTTTTTCTTTTTTGATTTCCACATGGCCAGGGCGAGCTCTGTCAAGCGATCTTGTCGACATTGTGAGCAAAAGGGAACAAATCAAGTGTGCTAAATTTATGTGAGGGGGGTAAACAAAAAACATTTCCATGACAAAACGGAGGCTTCGACCTGCAACACAATCCGCGTTTTGCTCCTCGGAGAGAGAACAGACAGGCGCAGAGGGACAAAAGACACCGAAGCAAAGTCACAATCTTAAATAAAAAGTGAGCGCGTTTTAATTCTGTTTTTTTTATTTTTTTTTTATTTTTACATATATAATAAAAAATAACAGCTGCGAGATTTACCTCGAGGAATTTTACAGCTGTGAGGGAGAGTGTCAAATATTTTCCAACTTATCAAATTGTGTGTGTGTCAGTGTGTTTGTGTACGCGCGTGTGTGTGCACATGTTTTATCCTGCGCGCGTCAACACACAAAGTCAAAAACGTATCAAAGAACACAGCTGCTTATAGGAAAGCATTGAATCAATTCTATTTTGAAAAAGGCCTTTTTTTAAAAAAAGGCCTTCAGCACATAATGCGAATGCAAAGTGTCATAAATGGTTATATGCATTAGCTACATTCATCCTAAAAGTCACCTATCAGCTAACAGAAGATAATGGGATGCAGGCTGTGGGGGGGGGACGCGGGTTAAACGAACTGATTTTTTGGAATAAAACAAACACTTCACACACTGAAACTGTTCACTTCCCTGTCGATAGAGGGGAGACTTTTAACTTCATAAGAGATTTATTCCAAAGGATTTGCAGCTATTTTTTTTTTTTTTTTTCTTTTTGAAGAAATTAATCTTATCGAAGACCCAGATGAATCCACACCACTTTTCATTTAAGGTCAAACTTAAAAGAAGAGGAGTTAAATCTCTGCTGAGACAAAAGTAAAGTGGAGAAACAAGCAGCAGTGTCGAGCAGAGCTGTGAGGTGTGTGGGGAAGAGAGAGAGAGAGAGAGAGGGAGAGAGAGAGAGAGAGAGAAGGAGAGAGAGAAGTTGTCTGTTTGTCTGAAAGAAGGAACCTGGATAAGGGGGAGCTCAGCTGATCAAATCCACTCACCGTGCTCGGAGATCACCCCGGCTAGAGCGGGATCCTCGTCCGACTTGAGGTGCTGCGGCTTGGCTTGCTTGCGTCGGGACATGCTGCTGGCGTCAGTGCTGGCGATGCTGCTGCGTTTGCGCTCCGAGATGTGTCTGCGTTTTGCAGATACATCAGCGAAGAGCGAAATGAATCAACACACACAAAAAGTTCGCAAACAGTCTGGTGGCGGAGAGAGGGGGGGGTGGGGGGAGGTAGGGGGGAAAAAAAAGAAAAAAAGAAAAAAAGAAAAGTGAAATTAGCCGGTGGTGCTGCTGCTGCTGCCGCTGCTGTTGCTGTGCGCTGGATTGCGCATGTCGGTATAATAATTATGATAGTGAATAATGCCTCGCGATTAATGGCACCGTGTGAAGGTGGGGAGGATTGGCTGGAGTCCAGCGGACGCGCATTGGATATGGTAATGAGGGACGGACTAAGCAATTAGCCGCTTCACTCTCAGACTTTATCCGTCTCTTTTTCTCTTTACTATCCAACCTCCCCCAACAACACAACACAACACACCAAATCTCTTGTTATGCCCAGCTCACGGGGGGGTCTTCAACAGGGAACGTCAGACTCTTGTCCCCCCCCCCAATCCAATCCACTCTTCCTCCTGTCACGAAGCGCACTCACTCTCAAGTGCCGAGGATTCACCGCCGCGTTTCTTCACCAAGTAGCTCTAATCTTCATCCCTCTGACCTTTATGATCCCACTTTTACCTCAGAACTTCACAAAGCGTCTTCTCATAAAGTGCTATCTCGAGATCCGGGCTCACTTCTCGCACTTTCTCTCTCGGTAACTTTTTTTTTTTTTTTTTTTTTTTTGGAGTGTGTGTGTGTGTGTGTGAGAGAGAGAGAGAGAGAACACGCACCTCCTTCTGACTTGGACTCAAATGAAGCGATGTTTACAGTCGCTGTGATGTTTCGGAGGTTTGATGGACATACACGGACACCGGCGAGCAGGAAAGTGGACGGGACGAGTAAAGTTCTTGACAAAAGCAATAAACTGTAACCAGTTTTTTTTTTGTTTTGTTTTGTTTTGTTTTTTTCTAATGGCGCAGCTCCGCTCTCCAAACTTTGACGCGCGTCTTTCCGAGAAAGCGGTGCCACGGTTAAGCAGCAGTCCTCCTCTCAGAAACAACAGGGATGTCAGTGTGATCAAAAACTCATTTGTCCCGTAAATGAAAAGTCGCTTCAGTGTCTCTGATCGCGATGAACTTCTCCTGTCCTCCTCCTCTCCGCCGTGTTTTTAGCTCCCGGTTGCGCTTTCGCCTCGGTGCGCTCCCCTCTAAAAAAAAAAAAAGAAAAAAAAAAAGAAAAGAAAAAGGAAAAAAAGTGTCTTTTTCTTTTTGGATATTTGGTGACCAAACACACAAACACCGCTTGCTTTTCCAAAAACCGAAGCTTCGGTCGGTGTCTTTCCCTTTTGCTCGACTCGCGTGTTCACATCGAAGCCAACTTTGAAGTTATCTTGTGGCAGCCTGCTATAGCAGCGTCGCTCTCCCGGCGTTGGGCATGGCTCCGTGTGTGTGGGGGGACTGCGCTGTGTGTGAGTTAACCCCCAAGCAGAGGTTCAGCCCATTGCTTTCAGCCACCACTAGGATGTACCACCACGTTACTGTTCAATGGATCGTCCTCAGACTCCAGTGTGAACACCCAGATTTGACCTCCCATCATATAATATCTCCCAGCTCTTAAGCAGCCGCCGCCCGTGCGGGACAGGCTGTCATATTAATCTCACAGAGTGTTTCTTTATGAGCGCGTCACACGGTAGGATTTCACCACAACACCTCACCTTTATTTTGACTTGATCTCCAGTTCGTGAACACGGTGCCAAACACTGGAAACGTCTTTTGTCCTGCACTGAAAAAAACACACTGCAAACAAATAAATAAAAAGCTTTACACTTTACAGCGTCCTGTAAGAGTGTGTGGCCTCTCCAACACATGATATAAACATTAAATAAAAGCATTTTTAATACATTGTAAGACTGTTTTTTTTCCCCTCTCACATTAAAGTAAAAGAGGAGAAAAGATTGTTGTTTACTGATGGCAGCTCATTGTGGCGCTGAATAAACACATTAACCCTTTACATTACACACTGGTATTTGCATTAAAAGGATGATTGGGGTGGGGGGGGGGGGGGGGGGTTGGAAGGATTAAGAAGGGCCACGAAAATAAGAAGGGGAAAACGTGCGTCATTTATATTGGTAAACATGATGTTAGTTATTCTATTCACTCATTTCTTTTCTCATTCTAAACTCAATATTTTGCTATAAAACGTGTATCACGAAATTGGTTGTGATGTTATAAAAACTAATGCTGAAAATATCACACCATGGATGTTTGGGTTTGTTTTGTTCCAACGCATAGTGAATTCTTAAATAAATTAGAGACAATTTTACTGTAGTGATGGATGCTGGGATTTTTTTTTTCAGTTGAGGGGGGGTTGGGGGGGGGCTCCCCCTCCCTCTTGCTCTCCCTCTTGTCTGTTTGACTTGTCTATTCCCCTGTGTCCACCTCATATGACGGACAAATCCGTTGACAACAAGGTCGTCCTGTGAGCAAACTTTCTTTCTTCTCCTCCTTCTCCCTCCATCATCCCCTTAGAAGTTATGTCCAAAAGGCTGTTATTATCTGGTATTAATAGATGCAGCCCCAGGAAGACAAAATCAGCTATTGATAATTGCAAGGAGTATACGGCAGCTACTGTATCGATCGGCGTGTCCTCCACTCCCCTGGAACTGAGAGATAAGGAGACACACTCTTTAGAGCAATATAATTTCTTTTGACCTATCTGCTTGCTACAGACTTATGATGAATAGCCAGAGTGGCTGAAGTCCTTTATCACCAAAGTTACCCCCTTGATATAATATTGATTCTTTATAACTAGCTCGCCACACAAAAATCAAACTGTCCACTTGGCCATCATCATCATCAATATCATCACAAAGGCGGGAGGAATGAAGATCCCTGCGCCTTTAAAGGCGAGCCTTTACAATCTCCTCTGTAGGCCTAATCTTTATTTTGCTGATGATGAAAGGAGAGGGGAAACGAGGCAAGGTGCCATTTAAGACGAGGTGCCATTTAATCCGGTATACACCACACACACACACACACACACACACACACATATATACACTCACACACACATCCAGAGAGAGAGAGAGGGAGGGGGGCAGGGAGAGAGAGAAAAAGAGAGATAGAGAGGAAGATCCACTGAGATCAGGATTGCCAAACAGCTTGGACTTGTGGGAAAATAATTAATTTGGTGTGAAAAATTTGATCGACAGAAATCCAAGGTTTCCTGTCTGAATTTAGACTCAACCCGCGATTCTGCCTCCACACACATCACATCATTTTCTATAACTGACAAGAGAGGGAAGAAAAAGAGATCCACCCCTCCCCAGTGGAACTATTAAAATGACTATGAATTTGGAAAAGCTAAATGTCACATAACACCGAATTAACAGCCGTTTAATTGACTGGAGTGGAAAAGTAAAAAAAAAAAAAAAAAAAAAGAAAGAAAAGAAAAGAAAAATGCATGTTTGTTTTATGCTACAGCTGGTACCGGATGCGCCTCAGAGGTGTCTTTTAACCTTAAAGGACGGGCGGTTTTTGCTGCATAGCTGGAGCCCCATAGAGGCTATTACAACGGGGCCACTCTCTCTATTCACCGAGAGAGGGGAGAGCACTGCTGCTATTTACGGTTGGCGGTACGCGAGTGGACGGAGAGATATAGTAGATGATTGGTGTGATAGTGATCGGGCAGGGGGGGTGTTAAATCGAAGAGTGCAGCGCCAGCGGAAAGAGTAGAGGTAGAGGAGAGGAGGGAGAGAAGAAACGTATAATCACCCAAACAACCATTTTTACCCATTTTACCCCCTCTGGATCTGTGTCGCAAGGTAAGGAAAAAAAAGGCTACTTGGCTTCTATTCTGGCCCTCTCTGCATCATGAACTGCTCCGGCTTGACTTGTGTAAGAACTCCTCTCTCACACCCTGCAGTCTGCCGTGAGGTTATCCGCCTCTCACTGCGGATACGGTGGAGGGAGGCCGGACCGTCAGAGGAAGACACTAAGAGGTAAAGGACTCGCTCGCAGTGAGGAATGACTGGTGTTTTTGTCGTTGTGTTCAGCCTTGAAGTTTAGCATTAGGCGTCTGTGAACGGGGAGGATCTAAACGTGGGCTTTTCATATATGTTGCTGAGGTTTGTAAAACCATGTGATTACACCGCTGAAGTAGCGCAGTCTGAAATATTGCGTCCCCATGCGTCAGTGTCCAATCAGACGTCTTTGCGCCGCCGCAACTGGTGCCAAGACGCATTTACACACACCGCAGGCTACTGTAGCAGCCTATGGCAGCCTATGGCATACTGCTGAGAGTTTGATATGCACCAATCAGAGGCGAGATGGACCATTTTTTTTCTGCTTATTGGAAGATTATGGAAGTGAAGATACATTGCAATGTTCCTAAAATATTCCTGCATGAACACACATTTTAATGTTCATTACTGGGTTCATATACATATTAGTAGTCTACTTATTTGCATTGTTTTATCTCATCTCCTGTTTGTGGCTTTATAATATTTCAAAGCCACACACTGATACCCTTTAATATGTCTATGTAATTATTTTTAATATTCATATCACTTCTCATTTGACACTAATAAGCATGACTTTCAAGTTTTTAGTGACCTACAAGTTTTACTTTTTAAAATATCTGTCACTGGAACATAACACAAGTTGTACTTAATGATGACTTAAAAGCAGTCATGTGCCTTTTTTGTTTCTGTGGTAATTAATTATTATAATATTTCTATGATAATTGTTTGTTACATTTCTGTGACTTTAAGGGGTTTGTCCCAATGTTAGATAGAATTATTTTTATGAATTGATTTTATGGTGGCATGGGTTACTTGTTAGGTTTGTGTCTTAAAATCTCATTTCAGTGTTGGAAAGTTTTTTCATGATCCTGCGTGAGTCTGTTATTATAATATTCCTGCCTATTCTTCGAGTCAAGTTGGGATTTTGATACAAGAAATTATTCTTTTAAAATTTAAATGCAT